TCCAATGTTTAGCTGAAACCAGATTGACTGTCATTGCATTGTCTCTGGGTTGGGGGTGGATCATTGTTTATATTGCGGTATAATCTCTGGCGGCATTTGTGGGGGAGTGCTTCTGCTCTACTTCCTGATTAATATTGCCGGCAGTTTGACTGTATCATCATAACTTTGATTAATTTTGTAACTTTGATTAATAATTTGGATTCATTCATTTTTAGACATCAAGATTAACTTTATTAAAGTTTGATTTTTAGACTTTTGAATTTTGAATGAAGATTGAGTTTTGATTTGAGATATAGTTAATTCTTTCTCTTTTTCCTCTGTACAATTGTAATCATAGTCTTTGGCATTGATCATTGATTATACTAATTTTTACAGTTCCGTGATTGATATGATTTTGTGGTTAGAGGTACTGATAAGTTGGTTTAACTTGGTGGTCTAACAAGATAATTTTAGTAAATACACCGCAGTTATTGGACTGATTCGATGTTTTAAATTACCCTCCTTTCTTTTTAGATTTGGTTGTTTGTTTTACTGTGTCGATTCCGGTCGATAGTTCAATTTGACATTTCCTCGGACAGCTGTTAGAAGTGACTTGGTTTGGGTTTTCTTGCTGTTAGTGACAGAGTAACACCTAGGACAGAAGGGACAGCTTAGCGGTTGTTTAGAGTATTCCAGGTTGCATGATGGCTGCGCTTACAACTCAGAAATTGCTTGGTAGGGCCAGAGAGTTCATGGAAGAACAAACTGAGTCCAAGGAAACAGAGAGGGAGTGGAGTAGGATGAAGAGATATTTGAAAAGATGGCAAAAGAGTGGGTGGTTTCCAACGGTGTCGCCGCCAGCAGGTGAAGACAGGCGCAAGGTTTGGAGGGAGACTGTAACAGCGAGAAATCAAGCCACTACGGCTTATGTAGAAGCCGGCCATTTAAATAGAATGAGTGAGAAGAGAGCCCTCAAAAGAGAGGATAAGAGATGTGTCCGCACCAAGCGGCTGCTTGCCTACTGGACTGCAGTCGACCCAAACACCCCCAAACCTGCTGTTGACCTGACAGAAGAAGAAGAAGCAGATTGTGAGCCCAGCGTATTTCTACCCTGGAGTCATCGAGACAGGGAAACGCTGGAGAAGGCATTGCCGCCATTGGATGGAGGAGCTAACCCATGATCCTGCTCTTTGAAAGGCACACAATAGGTGATGAGTTGGCTCTTGGAGATATGAGAGCCTTAATAGCCCACATGGAGGGCACTGACAACCTAAGAGTCTTAGAAGCAAGAGCGGGAACCACCAACCACAAGAGGATGAGGCTCCATTTGATAAGGTCAGAGGAGTATTTTGGGCCACAATGCAAAACATCTGGCCTACAAAGCCAAGAATGTCCATCCTGATGGGTCTGAGTATGAAACAAGGTGAAGACACGTCTCAATATCTGAGGAGAGCAGAAACAGAATGGCATTTGGCCACAGGAGAAAGACACGACAATAACAAATCTACTGCTGTGATCTGGCGACACACTGTGCTCCAAGGCTTGCCCCTGCCAGAGGGAGTAGTGGGACCGGACGACATGGATGAAAGCACATGGAGAGACCGTCTCACCCATTACCACCAGAAACAGCAAGCAGTGGAGACGATCGAACGGGGAAAAATCAAGAGACTGACGAAACGGCTTCTGAAGGTTCAACTGGCAGCAGCAGATGCAGAAGCAACGGAAAAACGGAGAGTCAGGAAACAACTGTCGGTGAGTGATGAACAACCCCAATACCCTGTTCCTCCAGAAGCCACATATCCAACCGTAGGTCCAGCAGTGAGAAACCAATTGAGAGGATACCAGCAACCACCACCTCAGCGCAGAGGCAGAGGACGTGGAAATAATAGGGGAAGAGGAGATGAATGCTACTTATGCGGACAGACGGGTCATTGGTCAAGAATATGTCCAACGAACATGCAGTTCAGTGCAGCTCCTCCACGGTCTTCCCGTCAAATGCAGCCCCGGCAGGACCAGAGGGTCCACCCCACCTCCACCCCCTCATGCAAACCCCAAAGCAGACGAGGCCCTAAACAACTGACTGGTGACACACCAACCCCCGCTGCTTTCCAACAGCTCAGATAAGCACCCTCAGCCTCTACGGTTTACGACTCACATTCCAGGTAGAAAAAGGGAGACTAGAGATTATAGACTGCTGAGAGTGTCAGCTGAAACTAGACTTAAACCCGTAGGGAAGATTGATAATAAAAAA